GGAGTGTCAGAGACAGTGCGATTGGCACAGGACAGAGCAGAGTTTAGGGCTGTTGTACATAGGGTCGCTATGAGTCACAAGCAACTTGACGGCACATAACAACAACAACAAATGTTATGACTTTATTTTAAAACAGCTAATTAAAGATCAACAATAGGGAACATATGAAGCTTAATTTTTTTAAAAAAAGGTTTATATACAACAGTCAAAGAAAGGTGACCCAACATAGTGCGGAAATTATCAAACAGTATCACTGATATCACGTGCAAGCAAGATTTTCCTGAAAATTATCCAAAAACGTTTGGAACAATATGTCAACAGAGAACTGCCAGATGTGCAGGCTGGATTTAGAAGAGGTTGTGGTACTAGGAAAATTATAGCTAATGTTAGATGGATCTTGACAGAAAGCGGAGAATACCAGAAGAATGTCCATCTGTGCTTCATTGACTATGCAAAGGCTTTTTTGACTGTGTGGATCACAACAAGCTGTGGCTGACTGAGAAGAATGGGAATCCCAGAATATTTGACTGAGTTAATGAGAAACCTATACTTGGACCAAGAGGCTCTCATCAAACAGAGTAAGGAGACACTACATGGTTCAAAATCAAGAAGGGGGTCTGTCAGGGATGTATTTTGTCTCCATATCTTTTCAATCTGATCATCCGAGACACTGTGCTGTACAAGGAGGAATGTGACATTAGGATTGGTGGAAGAATCATCAACAACCTGCGTTATGCAGATGACACAACCCTGCTTGCTTAAACTGAGGAGGACCTGAAGTGATTGCTGCAGAAGGTCAAGATTGCAGCCTCCTATATGGATTAAAGCTCAGCATCAAGAAAACAAAGATTCTCACCACGGGGACAATTGGCAGCATCAGTATGGATGGTGAAGAGATTGAGATAGTTAACAGTTTTAGTTTACTCGGCTCCATAGTCAACAGTCTTAGTAACAGAAGCCAGGAAATCAGGAGACAAATTATATTGGGAAAGTCAGCTATGAGGGACCTCTTAAGAGTACTGAAGAGCAACAACGTCAGGATGAAGACTAAGGTGCGCCTGATCCAGGCTATAGTCTTCGCAATTATGTGCTATGCATCAGAGAGTTGGACAGTGAATAGGGATGAAAGAAAGAGAATTGATGCCTTTGAGCTGTGGTGCTGGAGACTAGTGTTGAATATACCATAGACTGCTAGGAGAACAAACAGGTTTGTCCTGGAGAGGGTGAAACCAGAACGCTCCTTGGAGTCAAGGATTCTGAAGCTTCATCTGACATCCTTTGGGCATGTTGCAAGGAGGGACTGGTCCTTGGAGAGGGACATCATGTTTGGGAGAGTGGAGGGCCGGCGCAGGAAAGGAAGACCCTCGATGAGATGGATCGATTCTGTGAGTGGAGTGGTGGGAATGAGTGGGTTTGGGACAGTGATGCTGGCACAGGATAGAATGGCGTTTAGGGCTCTTGTGCATAGGATCGCTATGAGTCGCAAGTGACTCGATGGCACATAACAAGATACAAGAGTCAAGTGAAATTTAGTGCAAAAATACAAATTTTAACATAAGAAAATCAATGTAGGCAGGCTCTTGTGGCCTAGTGGCAGGAAACTGCACTGCAACCCCAGAGGTGTGCGGTTCAAATCCACCAGATGCTCTGCTGAAGAAGGAGAAACAATCGCCTCCTGTACCAATCAGATCCAATTTTACTGTACACACATAAAAAGAATAAACAAAAATTATTAAAAATAATCAATGTAAACAATAAATAAAATTTTTTAAACTCCTACAATCATCTCTCTGGAAGCAGGAGTGGCATCCACTTCCAAAATGGCTTGCCTCCGGAAACTCTATGTATGAACAGTGCTCAGGCTGTTCGTTCATAGGGTCGCTATGAGTCGTCTACAACTTGACGGCATTAAACAACAATAACAATGACGACGACCAAGAAAGAGCTACATTGGCCTAGTGGAAGGAAGCTGTGCTACCAAGCTGAAGGTGGGTGATTGTCATCTGTGGCCCTCGGCAAGGTTCAAATTGTCTTCCTATCAAACATTCTTCTAGGTGGTATAACACTGGTCTGTGTGTTGCTGTACAGAGGTAACTCGTGGTTGCTGTGATGCTGAAGCCTGTGACAGTGATGTGCCAATCGTGGTAATGGGCACCCATGGTGGACAGTGTTGGCTGGAGCTTCCCGACTAAATCAAGCCTGGAAGCAGGAGTGGCATCCACTTCCAAAATCGCTTGCCTCCGGAAACTCTATGTACGAACAGTGCTTAGGCCGTTCATTCATAGGGTCTCTATGAGTCGTCTACGACTCGAAGGCATTAAACAACAACAATAATTATCTCTAATGAAAGAGAACAAATTGTATTGGGAAAGTCAGCTATGAGGGACCTCTCAAGAGTACTGAAGAGCAACGACGTCAGGCTGGAAACTAAGGTGTGCCTGATCCAGGCTATAGTCTTCACAATTACGTGCTATGCATCAGAGAGTTGGACAGTGACTAGGGATGATAGAGAATTGATGCCTTTGAGCTTTGGTGCTGGAGAAGAGTGTTGAATATACCATGGACTGCTAGGAGAACAAACAGGTTTGTCCTGGAGAGGGTGAAGCCGG